CTGGGCAAACGAAAATCCACATTTTTATCGTGAAGCACAATTTCAGTACGAATTTAGTTTTAATGTGTTTGCAGTGATCGGTTTTGGAAGAGCTTTTTATTACATTTATAATGAAAGACTGACCTCAGAAAGATACATTAGAATTCTTAGAGAAGTAGTTGCCGACATTTTAAACCAGCTACCAAATAATAATTTTTGGTACCAGTTGGATGGTGCCCCAGCACATTCAACATACTATGTAAATCAAGAAATTACAGCACTCTTTGAAGACCGATGGATAGGTCCAAATGGTCCTTGGCTTTGGCCTGCAAGATCGCCAGATCTAACTCCTGTTGATTTTTTTTATGGGGTCATATTAAAAATTTAGTGTACTCTGCCCAAATTAATACTAAAGAAGAATTAGAACAGAGTTCGGAATGCCTTTAACGAGTTAGATGGTGAAATGATTCGTAAAGCAACAACTAATCATGTTAAAAAAAGATTGTTAAAATGTTTAGAAGCTAACGGGGGGCATTTTGAACATTTGATAAAATGATTTTCTTAAACCATGTGCTTTTAATAAAAATTGTTTTTAGTTAGTATGTACCTTATCATTAAAAAAATTTAAACTTTTTAAACGACATATTTTGTTGCAGAAAACTGTAAATGTTTTTAAAAGTACATCCCATCTACTACTTCTGGCTAAAATTTCAAGTATCCAACAGAAATAGTACCTGAGACAGTCGACTTTAAGAAAATGCCTACCGGCGCGACGACTAAAAATTAAAAAAAAATGAATAACGCCAAATCCGCTATAATTGGAATAGGCAAATTGTTTACAGAATTTCATGCTGAATCCTAAATTTAAAAACTATATAGGGTGTTCTCTTTAAAATAAAAAAGTTTTTTATGTTTAAAAAATTTCATTTTTAAAAATAATTGTATACCGTACAACAAATAATGAATAACTAAATATTCTCAAGAAGTACATCCCATCTACTACCTCTGATTAAAATTTTAAGTATCTGATAGATATAGTACCTGAGATAGACGACTTTAAGAAAATGTCTACCGGCGACTAAAAATGTAGAAAAAAATTGAATAACGCCAAATCCGCTATAACTAGAATAGGCAAATGGGGTATCGTTGTTTACAGAATTTCATGCTGAATCTAAAATTAAAAAAAAATATGGGGTATTCCCTTTAAAATGACAAAGTTAGTGGTGACTTCCGGTATAACCGGAAGTTGCACAGAGTTCATTTTATTTTAATTCAAAAGAGCATATTCGATTATGTACACTCAGAAAATGGCGAAAATACAAATTAATTTATTCTCCATAAAGTTGTAATGCCCGCCTTACGTGGGACACGGTGTATAGATTTGTGTGTAACTGACAATAGTCTGGTGTCGCCGGCGGAAAGTTCATATTGATATTACATTAGCCACGCCTAGTGATACCGTTTTGAATTTATAAAAAAGATCCCACCTTATAATTACATGTTGGTTTTTATTTTACTAACGGAAAACAAGGATTTAAGTAAGAAGGATAAAAATAAAACTCAGAATATAGTGTCAGCATATTATTTTTTTCAAATTTGACATTGATAGAATATTATAATGGGAAACATTGATAAAACGATTTTTTGGATATAGATATAATGACACGTTCTACACAACAGCCATATATATTCAATGAGTGATTACATTTTCACATATACGTAAATTTATATGAATATGGTAAACTTTATAAAAAATGGGGGGGGGTTCAGGCGGAAACTTCGCATCAATACGCGATAACGACCTGACACTAGAATTTTTAGAAAAATATTGCATTTTTTGCATTTTTAGGTTCGTATTGATGCGAAGCGTGCATCCACCTTAACCAGATATGTCTTGAAATGGTCTGGCTGCTGCCATTTATTATATGAAAAAATGGCGTGCCTTACATTGCCACAAAAATACTTCCATCTATAAATTGCATTATTTAATACCACCTTATTTTATAATAGATATGTTTGCTATCTCAGATAGATGATTTCTCAATATGATATGTTTAAGATTATGCCCGAAGGAAGAAAATATTGCTCAAGATACAGGGTATAAAATTCTTTTCATTTTACGCGTTCTAATAAAACAATTAGAAAAACAATTTATTTATACAGCAATCTTTATATTTATGATACATAAAGAGTTTCTACTTAGATGAAAAAATCACACGGGCAGGAATCATTAAGTAAATATTTGTACTACTCCATACAAACTGTAAATAAAAAAATATTTACCCGAATTCTATGTTCGATTGTCCATTTCTGCTACTCCTAGTCAAAAATTGGGGTTAAGTATAAGATAAAGGTGAATTGATTCAAAATATTTATATTAATAATACACAGGAAACATTTGTCAAGTTTGATTGTGAGAATTTTTCTCGGTTTGGAAAAAAAAAGAATAATTTTTTCATCCAGTAATAGTCTTTGTATCAATTACCTGACCTCGACAAAGATTAAAGTACTACATAAATCATGTCTTCCAAAAGCTTAAATTAGGCTTAACATTTTACCAATAATAGCTCCATTCTTATGTACCCTGCATATTTACAATTTTCTAAAACAGCGTGTCTCTAAAGAGATCAACGCAACTAAACGAGCGCACGATGTATGGTATGTGTGCTAACTCTTTATACCTTATGAAACATACAGATAGATTTAGATAAAAGTGGCATATAGAAGCATTTGTTTTCAAACTAGAATTTAATGACTTTTTATTTCATAGATTAATTCATTAAATTTTAATATATTTTGTAAGGTTATGGTTGAAGTGGTAGACCCTTAGCCACTTAACCTTAACAGAATACTTTAAATTGGCTACAAATTTATTGATAAATAATTTATATTTTATTGACAGTAGATTGTCGCAGATTGTCTAGAATGAGGTATTGACTTAAAATATTAGACTTCTTTGTTTTTTATTAAACTGCTTCAAATTCATAAGATTATGCGTGTTTGTAGTTTACAGATGGCTAAAATGACTAGAAAAGCTCTTCAATATCGGAGTTTATATTTTTATATACTCGTATGTGTTCATTTACATAAGAATATTAGACTTATTTTGAAACACTGGTTTTAAACTGATATTTGTTTTATTTAAAATGTTTCGTATGCCACTTTGAAAAATCTTCATGCAAGTTTTGCTTACTTACTGTGCTATTCTGATATGTTACAATCATTAGAGGTACTTATTTAAAAATTGCATGAAGTGGGATTATTTTTTAACACTTAGTGCTTTGACATATTTGATATCTTAGGATAATATCAACCTATTAGAGTGAATTTTTTAACACTTTCTTAACAGTTACTGATATGATAAATAGAAGCTCATAGTTATTGACTATAACTGTAATATCTAGCATGCAAGATACAATGTCTTATATTATATTTTTAAATATAATTTCGATTTTACTAGTTCAAAAAGCAATTGATTAAGGCTGTGTGAACTAGTAAATACAACTTTAGAATTTTTCTAATATATTTTAGATACAAGATATCCGTTTTTAATTAATGCTGTCTCGCGGATATTTTGGATCAATTCTTTATACAAAATTTTTAGTTTTTACAAAATATTGCGGCACATAAGATAATATTTTCATCCACCTGATATGTACTAGGCCAATTTGTCCCCAAATTTGTTCCATTTTGGATTGGTACGCGATGATTTTGATCAATTATTTTTTTTAATCAATAATAGTTTAATATCGTACGAACATTTATATAGGACATAATAAACATCTAGATTTAGAGAAAAGTTAAAGACATCAACAAATACGTTTAAAGGGCAGTCGAAAAATTGTATTCCAGAGAATATCGTTGTTAACATGGAAAATAAAAGAGCTAAGCAAGGATAGTTTGTCATCTATATCTAGGATATTGTTAAACATTAAATTAAAATAAATAATTTTGATGGGTTCGAAGAATATGTTATCTGGAATACACCAAAATTCTTTTAGACTGCACCAGTAGTGAAATGGGACAAAAATAAAAAATGGTGATTAAAGTAACCTTCGTTTTCCAATAGTGTAATCTGATATGTAAGCAGTAATACTTCGGTTTCTCCCTATATATTTATTGCAAGAGACACAATCATTTAGCATAGTTGATGAGCGCTATTTATTTCAATATATTTTTGTTTCAGTAAATATACAGGACGTAGAACCTTTAGGTGTAAAAGTTTAGGTGTAAAATCAAAAATACAAGGTAACACCACTGCTTTAAATCGAATGACATAAATAGGCGCAGTTATTTAAGATGTTGTACAGAGCAACAGTGTTCGCCTAGTATTTTTGAATTAATTTATAACAACCTAACATTGCATAAAATCGTGATTGTGAATAAAAATGGTTTTCTAACAAAGAAGCTTATTATTTAAGCAAAGATACATGCTTATTAATATAAATTGCAACTTATTATTAATTCTAAATCTACTTGGGGTGATCGTATTTCAGAGATTTTGTTTTTATCTATGAGGCGCTTTTAAAAATGAATTTTTTTTTATTGATAAGTAAATTTAATATTATCTGTATTAATAATATAAACCAATAGTTGATATAAGCAGTTTATTTTGTTAGTTTGTTAGTTTTATCAGAATTAAAAAAAGCACTGGATGTTCGTCTGGAGAATAGGACCTATTTGGGCTTAATATTTTAAATAAAAAAATACCGATATATATTATAGATTTCATAATTTATTTTATTTGTGTTTGTTGCTAGTTTTAGTTTTTTTTTTGTTTCAAGAATGCTATTGTTTAAAATAATCCGTTCGTTCATCAGAAGATCCAGTACCTTCCAAAATATATTACAACTAACTTAGTTTTGAGTATCTGTTTTACAGATATACAAAAAGCAAAACAAAACACCGTAATTAAACCACCCCACCACTACTTATGTCTCTTTTACTATTTACCTTCTAGGTATTTTCTCTAACAAAATTAAAGTCTTTAATATACCTACCGTATCTTCAAAGGCTAATATCTAAATGAATCTAGCTAAAACACATACAATAGTGCCAGCAGTGGCTGAAATACTAATCAGCCTATTGCTTTCGGCACCCCCAGTACTACCGACGTCATAGCTTTTGATAACGCATTTCATTTTGTCAAGAGGCAGACTTTGAAGACTGTATTCCCTGTGCTCGTGTTGCATGGTGCATACTGTCCGTTTCTTTTGCATCAAATCGTCGTCTTTGTCCTTCAGGTTGCGTAACCAATTCTTGTACCATTGCAGTTCACAGTCGCAAAGAAGCGGATTATCTAGAAATTAAAGAAAATATTCGGTTTCTGATATTGTTTAAAAAAGTTTGGTAAACATTAATTAATTAAATTGACTTTAACAGCAAGCATAAATGAGAAATATACTGTATCGGCGAGAAACAAACGGTTAAATAATAATTAAAATTCATGTCGCCACTCACAATTAACATCAATCTTAATTATAAATTTATAACAAAGACTATCCGTTTATTACTGATAGGATACAATCCAATATTTAATTATTTATTTGACATTATAACTTTTTTCTTTTGGTCTTCCTTATCAGTTGTTTACTTGTTATTTAAATTTGTTAACAGTTAAATCCTCTGATTTGTGTACTTAAGTTTGTATTGCTTTCAGATATGATGATGGCCTTTAGAGCGCTTATCAGTTGAAATTAATTAATAAATTGTATGTGGGATTGATTTGGTGTTTTTTTTCTCAACAATTTTTTTTTAAACATCAACCAGAAATTGTAACCATCAAAATATTTTCCTGACCTAGAAACCATTAAATTTCCAGCTTGTTTTGATGTTGTTTCTCCATCGAGAACACCTATTCCATCTTCTTTAAGGTCTATTTTACCTTATATCCTTTTTTAATCATCTGTTGGCGTTATCGTTCACAAGTTGTTAAAGAAGGGGATTTCAATGGTATTTGATGTTTTGAATTAATTTTTAAATGGTTCATGTATGAATATCTTGATAAAGCCTCTTGTTCTTTATGTACCACATGGCATTAGTCATTGTTGGTAGAGGTTTTGACTTTACACGTTATACTAATAATTGTAACCTAAGGCTTACTATAAATAGGCACAATAATGGTTTTATATATTACGATTCATAAGTAAGATATTTGAGTTTCTCCCTAGTGTATCAGTTCAATTTTCTTTCTTTTCTAAGTGATTTATTCTCTGCAAATTAATTAACTAACACTAAACAAATGTATATTTAAAAACGCACAATAAGACTGGTACACCCCTTCGAAGGGCGTTGAAGGGTATTACTTATTTAACGATATCCCAAAAACTTATCAATCGATTTTAACCAAATTATGAGAGACTGTTAAGAATATTAAATTATATCATTTAGGTATATTTTCCAAAAATGTCTGTGTGTGAAGGGGCAAATAAGGGTTAAGGGGTATGTTATTTCCTTATTTTTTTTTCAATTTGCTAATTTTTTTTAAAAACAAAATTAACATTTTAATTTTTCAGTTAACATTTAAAACGTACTCTCAGCAAATGTCCAAAATGCGAACCCGTTTAAATTTCAGAATACAGTCCTAAATTAAAACATAATTTTTGTAGACCGCCCATGTTCAAGTAATTTGTTTTAATCACACATTAAAAAAATGCTTATTGTTTGCCTTTTATTGCCCTTCAAATAACACATCTCGATTTATCCATGCCTTCGAAAAAACATTGTATTACCTATCCTGTGAACAGCGACTTTACACAGTCACATATGCACCTATATACAGTGCCTATTATTTTGTATCAGGCATAGCCGTGCCTTCACAGTGGAGATGTGGCAACTACGATATCGCTATACAATACACTCTGGTTTTGTCACTGACATTCGATATCCCAAGACTATATCTTTTTATTCTAGTCGATAACTGGCTGTTGCCCTGTTGCCATTTTATTAACTTATATACTATTCGTATGCTTGACACTGTATAACAAGAAATATTGCCTTCTCGATTAGTGCTAAACATTATGTACAGTCTGTTCGCTATACTTACGCGGGTTTCGGATTAACAAAATTATGCAAATTGGTCATTGACAACCAGTTCCAATTAGCCTCTTCCCAAGAAATTAGGTAAAACTGCCCTAATGGTCAGATTTAAATTAAAATAACATTAGGGTAGGTACTAAATTTGTTACAAATATTGCAGTTGAATTGATTCTTTGCAAGTATTGACATTGTATGTATATTGTAAATTTAGTGGAAATTTTAAAAATGCCTAGACGTGTGTTAGATGTAGATAGTCTAATTTGTAGTATACATAAGTATTTTACGGATGAAAAAGAAAGTGGCGGTCCTTTAAAATCGGTAATATCTGTACAACAACGCGTATGCGATGCTCTAGGAATAAGAGAACAAAATCACAATAGTGAACTGCCGAAAGAAGATCACCGCAAAACTCGCTTATCATTGAAAACGAAAGATATTCCAGATGGCAAGAAATTTGAAATTCGTGATACCATTTATCGAATGAGGGTCAACAAGGAACATGTGACCTTAACTTATTAACGCCCAATTTATTTTTTTTTGTCAAAATTTTATAATTTTTACAGAGATTGCTACTATGACTCATTAGTTGACTTCTATGTATTTATTTTTTTTTTAAGTTCTTAAGTTTGATTTTAGGGGCCGTCCTCAAACGAGAACGCTGGGCGTTGAACTCTTAGAATTTGTTGAAAAACTGAGGTAGGCCAATTCAAACCAATGTTTACCACAAACGTATTTTATTAAGAAAATTTTATAAAATAACTTTTAAAATATTAAAAAATAAAATTATAAGTAAATGAAAATGATAAAAAAAGTACAATTTATTTGGCATAAAAAGATTTGTCGTGGTATTTACTGAAACAAGGAATACACAGTGTTACATTACATTTTTTGCAGAAAGTACGCGGTTTTCCTTTACATAGAATAAACTGGCATCGGCTTTGATTATCGCTTTTTTCCAAAATATGATTTTTTCCGTCAAACCAAACATCATAAACAACTTGTGCTCGCGATGTAGAAGGTAGACTAAGTGGCCTTCCTTTTTGTAGCCGTCTACCATGTCCCAATTTTAGATAAGCAACAGCAATATTCCTTCGAAATTCCTTTATTGAAGTCTTATCCTGGGCATGCAGCAGGTTATATAATATAAAACTTTTTACCACAGCCATATCCACAATACGGGTGATTAAACACCAGTACCACTTTTTACCTCTTATGGCTATTAAATGTTTCTCGAGTAGCCAATCATGGTGATCTACACCGCCCATGCATTTATTATAATTATTAATAAGTCTGGGCTGTGTAATTGAAGCATGCTCTTTTTTGTCTTTATTCCACCTTTAGACTGCACAAATTGGCTCCACAATGTCAAAATTTGTTCCCATTGTAACGCACTTGTTGTCGTTCCATCTCACCATAAATATCTTATTTTTTTCGTCAAATCGGTTATCAAATATTCCCCTTTTCGACTTTTCCATTTCTTTAACGGACATCAAAGGGCATTTTTCTGTCCTGTTGTCTCGGATAGTGCCAGTTGCACGAAATCCTTTCTCTTTCAAAATTTTGAATAAATTGTAGCTACTAAAATAGTTATCAAAGTGAACTGTGTATCCGAACGGATTGTCTACTACGGTCAACATATGTGTAACAACCCTTGTTCCTAAAGGGTTATTTGACTGTATTGCTTCTTTTCCACAGTATAGGGAGAAATTGAAGCAGTATCCACTGTCACCACACAAAGCCCACAATTTATAACCAAATCTGATTGGTTTTCCTCTTATAAATTGCTTTAGACCATGGCGGCCGTAATATCGTACCATCATTTCGTCTATAGACAGATGTTTTTGGAAAATCCCCCACTTTCGAAAGTTTTTATTCAGAGCATCAAGAAGGGGCCTTATTTTGAACGCCTTATCGTGTTTGTTTTCATTTGCTTTTGTATTATCTTGCAAATGTAGCTATGCCTTTGTCTCTAAGTATCGGTTCCGACTCATGGTCTCCTTTACTAATTGTACACCCAAATCTTCAGCGTCAGATTAATAATCCCGTTCACTGGGCAGTCTATGATATCCAGAAAAAACAAAAATCCAATGAATATCTTTATGTCTTCAATTTCCACAGAAAATGACGGCTTATTTTTTTGTTCAGCTTCATAACGAATTGTTTCGTCTACGATTTTCTGATATACCTGTTCCGAAAAAAAATGTTCAAAAATTTCCAACATGCTTTCGTCAGACAAAATGGGCAACATATCGGCAAACTTTTCTTGCGGCGTATTAGTATTTTCCCATATATCAAATTGTGGATTGGTTTTCTTCCATTTCGGTACGTTTTTTTCAACAATATTTTTTTACTCCGCTTTGGAGCGGATTCTTCTTCCCCATTGGATGAAAAATCTGACTGCTCCTTTTGATGTAACGTTGATGGCCCTTGTCTGGTAAAAACCGATAAAGAAACATTATTATCGTCTTCATCATCGAAAGGCAAGTTTATTTCCGTTTGTCCTGCAACATCCGATACAACAGGTACATCCAGATCGTCATCGTTGAGATCATCTTCATCGGTAAGCTCATCCACTTCAGGCGGTAAAGCTACGATGGCAGCCTCGATTTATTCTGAATATAGATATTCGACAGCTTCATCTAAAGTTTTAAAAACTTGTCTACTCATGTTGGCTAATTCTGAAAAAAAAAAACAATATAATATCAAAAAAATATTGTAGATGAAATATGACTCTAAATCCCAGCGTCCTCATTCGAGGACACAGTTATTTATCATCGATTTCAAAAAAATTATAAGAAAAATATGCAACCGTGATATACCACCACAAAAGATATGTGTTTTGAGTTTGTAATAATAGTATAAGTATTCACTTACCTAAAGTACAGCAGTAGATATGATTTAAAATACCTCTGGCCGACGGAGCGATAAAAAACACAGATTTTCAAAAATATTACGTCTGGCTTGTATAAATCTTACGGCAAAACTAAACGTTTTCAGCCGAAGTTACATCTATGCACGTGCACTTAGGCTAAAAATAGATTGTATCGATTGTTTTTTATGGCTCCATCAATGTTTATTTTAAACTGTCTTCAGATGAGGACGCTGAACGCTAATGGGTTAAATAAAATTCTCTCGGAATTAATAGATAGAAAATTTGACGACATTAGCAGAACAAGTCTATGGCAAGTGATACATAACTTGGGTTTCAAATTTCAAAAGGAGGATAACAGAAAGGCCCTTTGTGAAAGAAGTTCTGTCGTG